AAGGACGTGCAAAAACTAATTGATCAGGCGCTTAAAACCTCGGATACGGCAAGAAATAGGCAGAAAATTTATTACGATAAAAACGCCGTGAAGCAGATTTTAAAGTTGGTGATAAAGTATTGAAAACGGAAATTTTCTTTATCAAGTGCCCCAGACAATTTTATGGCAAAGCTAGCTCCAAAGTTTGAAGGCCCCTATGTAATTCAGGAAATCAAAGGAGTAGTTTTATTATCTTAAAAACGAGAGAGGGGAAATCTGTAAAGCAAGTCCCGACCAGGTGAAAAAACTATAATCCCAATGATTTTGAAATCCTTAAAAGTTTCTTGCAGGACTCAAGTCTAAACGAAATAGAAGGGCCAGAGACTGCAACAACTATTCCACCACCCAAGAAACGGAGAACTGAAGAGACCTAGCACTTCTACACCCGGACGTCGGTATCAAAAGAAAATGATTATCAAACTCCGGCGTTTAAGAAAACAAAAGTACAGATGAACCGGGTAAGAAACGTGGTAAAAAAAAAAAAGTACAGATGAACCGGGTAAAGAAACCGTGGTAAAAAGAAAAACACCACCTACAAAGGATGCAGAGGAATTACACATCAAGAAGAACGCGCACACGGCCACAGATTCAGGTGCCAGCAAGGCCGCCGTTTCGGAAACTGAAACGCCAGCAGGAGGCACAAAAATACGACGAACAGAAGAAATTCAAGAAGGACTCCAGACCGGAGGACGTCAAGACGAGCCGTCCCAGGCAGAAACGCAAAAGCCAACAACCAGACGATTACTCCGTCAAGAGGCCAGCATGTAGAGGACGCAAAAGAAAGATCAACGGGGACGACAATTGGAGATCAACAAGGAGAAGATTGACATCCATGACACCTCTAACTTGGGATCAATTTTGTCAAAAACGGATGACGGAGTTTCAAGCATCGAAAACTCAAAGATAAGTTAAATAGTTAAAGATAAGTTAAATAACCTTCTATAAATATTTTTCTCTTTTGTTCCGAAATGTTATGCATAAGTACGAAGTTCTATGTTTTGACGAAGTCAATATGTCTCGGTTGAGACGACTTAGTTTTTTTACTTTATTTAGCTAAGGCAAAAGTATTATTTTCTTTAAGTGTAAAAGCTAAAAACAAGCATTTTCTGTTGGTCGAAACTAATTCTGTTATGTTAAAGCCAAAATTTGGCCGAAGATAAAAATAACTTCGTATTCTTGTATAATAAGAATTTTAGTTTCAGTGCCGCCAGCTTGGCGAAGAATGAGTAAAGTAAAAATTTATTTTCTCTTATTCATTTTATGGTAAATTGTAAAAAGCATATGTATAAAATTTTGTAAATGTAGGTAATACTTGAAGGTTATGTAAAAGAAGAATTTAGTCTAGAAGCATAAATTGTAGATGCTAAAAGTGAATGCTTAAAAAGCAATGAAGTCAAAATTTAAGTATTAAACTGTAAAGTCATGCTTTAGAGCGAAAGCCTGCATGTTTTAAAAGATGAATGAGGGGAAGTTAGAATGAATGTGTTTTGTAGGGTTCTCCACCTACATTTGAATTTTTAAGAATATTAAAGTAGCTCATTGAGTTGTAGAATGTCGAGTAAGGTGTGTCTATTTGGTTGTTGAATTCTAACAAATCATGGTGGTTAGGGGAAGTGTTGTAAGACTAAAACACGAATATTCCCGTTTGACACCACACACGGTGGAGAGCCAGGGTAAAGTTAAATTAATGCTTGAAAAATTGAATGAATGTGAAGTAAGCATAACTAAGAAAAACGAAACGTTAAAACAAAAATTTATTGTGTCAAGAAAGTGTAAATTATATGTATGTAGAAAGATACTGATACTTATTCCTTCCAGATGCTGGAAGGAAAGACCAAGATTGATTGATGAAGTCCAGGAAAAGTTGCTGTAAGAGAAACCTTTGTAAAGAGTACAGAATTTTAATTGTTACATAAGATTATTTTTGTGTAAACGAGGGCTTTCGCCAGTTAGTTCAGAATTAGATAAACTTACAACAGGTCGTTTGTAGGACCCTGCTTCCAAGTTTTCCAAATTCTGGCAGCGGCAAATGTAGGTTTATATTTATTTTAACTAACATTTATTTTAAGTTTAAACTATCTTTCCTGTCAATCCTTACTTTCCCCTGGAACTGCCAATGCCAGAATATGTAAATTTGAGTAGAACGCGCAAGCATTCAAATTATCAGCGGAAGTAGTATGATTTAAATAGAAGGAAACAAGTTCGGTGAGAGAGAGTTATTCTTACTTAGCGAGCGCGGAGGTAGTTATAGAGATTTGAAAAACCCCCGCGTTGCGGCCTATGTGCTTGGCGGGAAGTAGTTGCAATTGTTCCAGTGAGCTTCAAGTCTGCTGAATTAGCAGCCGTATTGTAAAACGCGGTGAGTTAGTTATTTGAGAGAGCCTCGTAGTTAGAATATTTGTCTTTAATTTCTTTTCAGGTTTTTTTATTTTTATTTTGACTGCCGAGTTGGCACCGTTTGTAAGCGTCAAGAGAACGCAATTGTAAATTAGTACGTTGAATAAAAAGGGACTTAAACCCTTTATAAGACTCTGTGGTTTATACAAGCTTTCACAGTCACCTCTTGGTTGCGTGCTAGTTAGAGGCGCGCAACGTTATAAAATAATAAAAAGCAAATTTAAACAATTGAAATAAGAGAATCATTGTTGATTCCATAAAAAGATCCCTACATTTTAGGGGAATTGGAATCCCTCTGTACAATTACCAACAATTGATAAGGATCGCATTTCGTCTTCTATGAATTCTTTTCTGTGGGATCATCAATGTTTCAAAACAATAGTTCAGCATTTCAAAAAGAAGATAAATGATTTCAAAAAAAGTAAAAATTTCCCAAAAAAGCTAATACTTCTAAAATACTTAAGTGATCCTGAAGCACTTCTTTACTTCGAGGCTCAGAACAGAAATACTAACAGAAATGCATTCTGGGTGCATATACATATAATTTGTAAATAAATATTGTAAATTTAATATAATACCCTATGATATTAATTTAAATATAAATTGTAAATAAATAGTAATTTTGTAATAAATAAAGAAACTTATTAATTCATTTTAAAATTTAAAAAGGAAAAAAGTAAAATTCTTTTCTTTCTACTGCTGCGAATATAAAATTAATTTAATAGAAAATATATAAATGAAAATTATCTCCTATGAAAAGTGTTGTGAAATATAGATAGCAAATGTGTACTATCGTGGAACTTATTAATTGGAATTAGTAAATAATTCAAATTACATTGTTAATTAAAATGCAAAATTAAGGAATAAAACATGAGAATTATTGCTGATTCCATGCAAAGATCCCCCAAAAAAATTTCCCGTAGAAGTTTCTCAGAATATAAGTATGGGCACCGAGGGACCGTATAAAAAGTTAGATTTCATATTTTATGCAATTTTTAAAAAATTTAAAAATATTAAAACATAAATCCTTTCGCCATTTAAAACATTTGTGTAATTGGAAGTATATATCTGCCGTCAATGGTTGTGAAATTTGCGGGTAAAGTGTATAATAGTAAAAAGGCATTGTGTAGTAACGAGGCAGTGTGTATAACAATAAAAAGTAAAGTTTATGGGCACTGTGTATAATAATAAGAAAAAAAACGAAAATGGTTGCGAAATTTGTGGTTTTGTGGGTATGGTGTATAATAGTAACAAGCAAATGTTTGTAAGTAATAGTAACAAGGCATGGTGTAGCAATAGTAACAAAAGCCTGTGTATAATATTTTTTAGAGATATTTGAGATTTTTAGACTCAGATTTTAAAAAAGATAATGATTTCATATGCAACTGGTATTCTATAACTGAAAATCATAATTTTACTTAATTTACTATTAATTCTCGAATTTACTTCATTGTGAAATGTAACTGCTTGAAAATCATCCCACCAGAAGATCATTTATGCACTTCGCTGGATATGTGAGCAAGCAAAGTGACTCATTTACTATTAAATGGACTTATGGACTTATATCTTTGAGGCCTTAATTTTATAATAATTTTTTATGTAAAATATTTATGAATTTTTGAAAAATATCTAAGTGTATATAGTTCGCTCTTACTCTGTAGAGACATTAGGATTTTCTGGATGCCAGAGAGATGAAAAATTAGCAACTGCCTTCGCCGGGAATCGAACCACGAACCTCTGAAATACCGGCTCAGTGTGCTGACCGCTACACCACGAAGGCACGCTGGGAAGGTGGGAGAAATACCTTATAACTCCACTACGAAAAATCATCAAAACATTTTGAAAAATAATCGGAAACTTATTCAAAAAGAATAATTTATTATAATTTTTACAAACAAATTATAATTTATTTTAAAAATCTGAAAGGCTTCAGATTTTAATGGTCGTCCAAAAGGGTTTGCTAAGTTTTTTTACGCTCTCGCTGAGCTCGCAATGTACCAATCTGCTGTTACACTCATTCATACTAATACTATTTTTGTCTTTTTAGCTTTGTTATTAAGCGTTATTTTTTCGCACTTACGGCATATACAGTTCAACAGAAAAATTTAAAAAAATTTAAAAGCACATAGCCGTATATGTTTAGAATTCTCGATGCAGCGTTAAGCGCTGGCATACATTTTTCTGTTTTTTCAGATTTTTTTTGTCATTTTATTATTAACATTTCGTGTATTAACTTTATTTCTTTAATCTCGCGTTTTTTGCACTTACGCCACATGAAATTCGATTCGACAGCAAAATCACAAAATATTTAAAAACAGGATATCTTTAGAATTTCCGATAGACAGTCTCTCGCGCTGGAGATAAGTATTTTATTCCGTACAGTGTTGTCATTGCTCGCTTTGAAATCGTTGAGTTTGTTAATCAAAAATTCGCTAAAGTTGTACAAGATACGAGACAGATAATAAAATAAATTCTAAATTCCAAGTAACTATGCACTACGTTGTTCAAAATTTGATATCTCTTGGTATCGTTTGTTTTTCACAATGCAAGAAAACAAGCATACATTCATGCAGATGCTTCATTATTATTTAATTCCCTTAAAAATAATACAGGGCGATAATATTTGGTGACAACAATTTGAAAAGTGAAACAACGCATTTAAGTGTTTCGACGCGAAATGACATTTCGAGACTAAAATCCCATTCGGGACTGACATCCCTTTTGGGCTAATAATTCTTGCTTGTAATTACAATTTATGCTTTGTTTGGCTTTTTGTAATTATTTAAATTATCGACGCAAAGGAGTTATAGGTGTTTCCTGAGTTTTCCTGAAATTTTTAGGTCTAATCTTGATCTCAGTTGTGTCCATGGATTCTTTGTAGCCTTTCCATGACAGCCAAACTACACCGTCTGCAAAACTCTCGTGTTTTCCCCTCAAATACAGACCATTGAGGTTCGAGTGGTGGCAAGTGTTATACCACCATCCACCTTTATATACTTGAGCGCAATTCTGATCCTTCTGATTATCATTTTTCTGGTCTTTTGTAGAAAACTTCTGATTGTTGTGTTGGGCAATCATGGAATCCCCTGAATAGGTAAAAATATAGTATTATTAAATATAACTTATTATAGAATGTATTTTGATACTTAGGTAAAAATGGATACAACGAAAATTTTAGGATTGAGGTCTGATAGAGATTTTAAGACATCAAAATTAAGTTAAAAAATGAAAAAAAAAAAAAAAAAAAGTTAAAAAATGAAATTATACATATTAAATACAACTCAGAAAAACAAAGAAATCTTTTATTTGCACTGGGAAATTTAGTAATTTTAACATTATTCTATGGAATGTTATATGCACTTACAACACAATATTCATCTGAATATTTATCCTGAACTAACGATGACTGCTGTAACTTTTTCCCTGAATGATAAATTCAGTGAAAATGTGGTTTCAGTGAATGAGAAATTCACTGAGACCCTTTGTGATGTTGCGCTTTTTAATTTCATTCAGCGTGTTACGAAGGATGACAAAACTTAGGTTATAAATGAAAGATTCCGTCTCGCAATCTAGCATCATGAAACATACAATATAAACCTTGTGATTTTCTGACACGCAAAGGGATTTACGTAAAAGGGAACGTAAAGGGATTTACGTAAAGTGGAACGCACGTATGTTCAGTACCTATGGTGATGACGTGAAGTGAAAAAGGAACATATTCACTATTTTATTAAAGAACTATGTAAGTTTGTTATTCCCTCTTAAGAATAAATTGAATTTAATTTAAAAAATTAAATTTAAATACATATTTAATTAAATATTCTTTGCGCCATTGCTGCAAGGAAATTTAATTTAAACAAATTCAATTCTTAACAATACGTATAAAAGTAAAAAAGCAAATTTAAATTAAAAAAAAAAAATAAAAGCCAAAATAATTTTTAAAAAAATTCGGCAAACATGTAAAGATTTAATTCTCGAACTAATCTACAATATCATTTAGTTCAGAAGCATAAGCAAATCAAGTGCAAAATCTATCCATGAAATAAATCTACTAATTTAATAAATTAAAATTAAATTAAACAATTTTTTTAAATGCATATGTGAATGACCGTTGAGTAGGCAGGAGACACTATCAAGGGGAAGTTGCCTCCAAACCTAACTCTCCAATCATTCAATTCGTGTCTCGTCATTCATGCAGGCAAGGGTAAAAGTCAAAACCAAAAGTAATTCCAACAAAGTGGCACCCCCAGACACTAACATTTAAGTATTAACATTTAAGAATTAAAGTTCAAAAAGGAAAATACCAATGAAATCGCCCGAGAAACAAGCAGTAAAGTCAAGAATTAACCTTTTAAACCTTTCCTAAAAAATTAAATTTTTAAAAAATCATTTTTTATAAATAAGAAAGAAACCAATGTATTTTAGAAACCCTTGTCTCAGAAACTCCCCTACACGAATATGCATATCCTAAAAAGAAACTATAAAGAACCATACATATCCATATAACAATAGAACAAAAAGAACTAATTCACAATTTTAAAAACAAATATAATTAACAATAAACCCCGATAAATACTAATTCAGAAGTCAACAACAAAATCAGCGTTATAACAAAATTTCACAGGACTGTTCGAGGTTTTACCGAACCATCATCTTCAGCTGCAAACCGCAATGAACAAGATAGGAAATAATGCTTAGATAAGTAGAAGCCTGGACAAGAATAACAAGTGGCGCCATCTGTTGGCGAAACAGAACTAAAACATAATTTCTCTAAAAAGCCGAAGGCAAATTGGCGGAATTAGGATCGTTAACTAGAACAGATTTTTATGAATGTGAAATGCCTCTAGAAAATCCGTTCTCAATGGAAGATGTTTTTTGAATAATTTGGCAGCAGAAAAATTGAAAGTGTGATTTTCGGACCAACAATGTTGAGCAACAGAAGACCTCTGTGTTTTTTTTTTTCTAACATATGCCTCATGTTCTTTGACGCGAAATTTTAAGGCTCTCTTAGTTTGGCCATGTAAATTAAACCACACTGGCAAGGAATCCTATAAATACCCCAGGATTCATATCCGGAATGGGGTCCCTGAGTACAGAAGTTGGAATTTTATTGATGGGAGAAAAACAACCCGAAAGTTAAATTTCTGCAAAATATGTGCAACTTTATAGCTAATTGATGGAAAGAAGGGAATGACAACAGAATTTTTATAATCTCCTAAAAAAGAGTGTGGCTTTTAGTGTGTTGAGATGAGAATTTTTAACTGCTTGATTAATAATGTTGGGTGAAAAGCCCCTGTCAATAGCTATTGCTTTTAAATAATTTAGTTCTTCATCAAGGGCTAGTTTGGAGAGCAAACTTGAAGAGCACGGAAAACATAGGAATAAAATGAAGCTAACTTTTGTTTAGTCGGATGACATGATTTAAGTGTGGTGGAAGGCAAACCGATGCAGGTTTACGGTAAACTGTAGTAGTGAAGTTGGATGTGTTACGTGTGACCCAGAATGTCGAGAAACGGAAGAGAATTGCAAGTCTCAAGTTCAAAAGTGAACTGAATAGGCAGGATCAATAGAATTCATTTTGAAAGAACTTTATTTAAATCATCTTTATACCTTCAAACAGGGTAAAAGTATCGTCTACGTAGCGGAACCATGCCGGGAAGTTTAAAGTTTCAAACATTTTGATTCATAATAATGCATGTAGATATCAGCCAGGATGGGACTGAGGGGCTTCCCATGGCTAATCCCTCAGTTGCTTGTAATATTTATTTTGGAAACAAAATGTGTTTGTTTCAAAACAGAGTTGAATTAGAGAAATTAGCTCATCAATTTCGATGCAAGAGAAATGAAATTCGCGAAGTCTGGTTTCTAGACATCTTAATGCACCCTCCACTGGGACATTGGTGAATAATGATTTTACATCAAAAAAACCATGAGTAAATTACTAGGAGAACGTTTTTAACCTTTTTTACAAACTCTATGAATTTTTATGGTGTAAATGTTATTGTCTAATAGAGTGGAAAATCTAGAAACTAAATATTTAGCTAAAGGATACGAGGCAGTACCTAAATTTGATCAATAGGCGGAAAGGAATACACTTTTGAATTTGGGAAGAGCATAATCTGGCACAATTAGCAACAGATGGGATAAGCGAATGTTTTAAGTTCTTGAAAGATTTGTGAAGATTTGATCGCAGTTTTTATTTTGGATAAGTCCGAGGTGAAGATCTTTAGGGATCGATTATATGGTCCTTCGTTAAGAGTTTAGTGACACCATCGATAAGGTTCTATCCATGACGACTATCTGGCCACCTTGTCGGCCTTGAAATGATATATCGGGTTAGAATGAATTTCGCGCATTGTAGCCTTTCTCTCGCAGTTAGATTTGTTTCAAGGTTATTATTGAATTCACATTATGGCGATAAGATGCCTAATCATTTCTTTCTGTGAATCTGAAACTTACTGAACTTGAAAAGCTTTTCGATAGGAGCCAAAATCTTTGGAATCGAGGGTTACAGGTTTGTGAGAATTTAAATTATATTTAGAATCTCTCTTGTTCTTCTGAAAGACTAACATTAGAAATATTACTATTGGCTTGATGTTTACAATGGGAAGATTGTTTGAACTACTTGAACTGGAAGACTGTAAAAAGATTTTTTTCGAATTTAACTGCAAGGTGTTTTATGACGGTTAACTGCATTCTCCGTTCTAGACCAAAAACTTTTGCTCAAGGCCAGTGAATTTTTTTTGGATATGATTAGCGAGTTCCAGATGAAGCGTATAGAGTTCATGTTCAACTTTGGACAATTGTTGACGTGTATCCCTTATCACGGACCGAAGTAAGGCAAGCTTGCAATTTACAGAATTCTTGAAACGCGACTCGATAGTTTTTGATTAGTTTTGATTTGAATAAAATTGGGGATCAATTTTTTTTACATTTACATTTAAGTAAAAAGTCAAGATAGGGGAATTTTGCCGTTTCAGCGTAATTTAGTGAAACGATTAACGGATGAAGGCATGATAAAAATGCAGAAAATCAAACTAAATTAACTGAGCATATAAAGTACACACAAAACAGCAGAAAAATCCAAATAAATGCAAAATATTTTTGCAATTTTCAAGTTATGTTTTATGTTTTGTTACATTTGTATATTGTGCTTTGCTTGTCTGATTTCATGCATTTGCTTACAACGTTTTGTTTTCTATTCATTTCAGTGAGGGATTTTTCTGCTGTTTTGTGTGTACTTTATTATTGCTCAGTTAATTTTAGTTTGATTTTCTGCATTGTTTATCATGCCTTCATCCGTTATCGTTTCACTAAATTACGCCTGAAACGGCAAAAATTCCTGAATCATCTTGACTTTTTACTTAAATGTAAATGTAAAAAATTGATCCCCAATTTTATTCAATCAAAACTAATCAAAAACTATCGAGTCGCGTTTTCAAGAATTCTGTTAAATTGCAAGCTTGCCTTACTTCGGTCCGTGATAAGGGATACACGTCAACAATTGTCCAAAGTGAACATGAACTCTATAAGCTTCATCTGGAACTCGCTAATCATATCCAAAATTCACTGGCCTTGAGCAAAAGTTTTGGTCTAGAACGGAGAATGCAGTTAACCGTCATAAAAACACCCTTGCAGTTAAATTCGAAAAACTTCTTTTACAGTCTTCCAGTTCAAGTAGTTCAAAAAAATCTTCCCATTGTAAACATCAAGCCAATAGTTAATATTTCTAATGTTAGTCTTCAGAAGAACAAGAGAGAATTCTAAATATAATTTTAACTTCTCACAAAACCTGTAAACCCTCGATTCAAGATTTGGCTCCTATCGAAAAAGCTTTCAAGTTCAGTAAAGTTTCAGATTCACAGAAAGAAATGATTAGGCATCTTATCGCTCATAATGTTGAAATTCAATAATAAACCTTTGAAACCAAATCTAACTGCGAGAGAAAGAGCTACAATGCGCGAAATTCATTCTAACCCGGATATTATCATTTCAAAGGCCGACAAAGGTGGCCAGATAGTCGTCCATGGATAAGAACACTTACATCGATGGTGTCACTAAACTCTTAAACGAAGGACCATATAAT